TATAAACCCTATAGAATCCCTATAATCCCTAAACCCTAAACCCTACACCCTAAACCCTATATTCTATCTACTTAAGGGGGGCTCTAATCCTATAATCTCTCCTTTCTGGCTCGTCTCCCGTGCCTTCGATGCCGGGGCCTCAAAGGCTGCCTGGTTCTCCGAGTACATGAAGTCAAGGGCATCCTGCACAACTTTAGGGTTTAGTTTTGGGGTTGTAGGATTATAGGGATAATGGAAAAGAAAATCGAAACTACTATCTAGGTCATGAGGGTTTGGGTTTACTAGCCTTTGGTTAGCTGGGAATGAAGGAATGGAACAGCAAATGGAAACTACTATAATCTGTAGTCTCCTCAGACCTATATCAAAGGGCATCCTGCACAACTCCTCCTGTTACTGGCCTTTGGGAATGGAGAAGAAAACGGAAACTACAGGGACTATGGGGATTATGTAGGGTTTAGAGGTTTAGGGTGAAGTGTTGAAGAAATGGAAAGAAAAATGGAAATTGCTATAATGGGCTATATATAGGGACTACTATAAGGATCCGGTCCTTCATCCCTAGATATCCCAAGGCCAGGTCAAGAACCTCATTACACAGAATACTTCAACTCAAGCATCAGCCCAGATACTCGCAATGTCAGACAGGTACGTCCTCGAAGGCCCCATGGCAGGACTGCGGCAACACCTGCACTCCGTGGTTCGACTATGCAGAATGCAGAAATCAGTGCCTGGATTACTTTACATTGCAGTTCGGTGGTTTCCCAGAATACAAGGACCCCAATATAGACCCCAAAATGCTATGGTGCTTATTATAGGGGCTCCCCAAAAATAGTACCCGTAGTTTTGGGAAACCCCTGTTTTTAATGCTGATCCAGGCAAAACCCCCTGTGTTTAATGCTGATCCAGGCAAAACCCCCTGTGTTTAAGGCTGATCCAGGCAAACCTGTCTGCCATCCAGACCCCCCTAAACCCTAAATCCCTAAACCCTAAACCTTCAGGATTGAGCTCCGGCATACTCCCCTATATAATTTTATTCCAAAATAACCAACCCCCTTCAAGGAGTTTAAAACCTAAATCCTATAAATTCCCCTGTTAATCCCCTATATGACCTATCCTTTAAGGAGTAATTAGACTGTAGCTCAATGGGTGTCTCCCACGTCCGGCCTCGCTGAGGTCACTGCCCTTGGCAGCCTTGCCATCCGACTCCGCACGCGAGGCCATGCCTGAAGCTTTCCAGGGTTTATTCATTCGGGTTTAGGATTAGGATTTAGAGATTAAGGTCTAGGCTTTAGGGTCTAAACTCTTTCAAGGGGATTCAAGCGGGGTTATATAGGGGATTCTATAGGGGAGCATTATAGTGTTATTAAGGGGGATACTACGAGTTTAGACTATAGCCTTATTAAGCAGCTTTCAAAATACTGCAAGATTGCAAACTGAAGATAAATGTGTATTTCTAAAAGCATTCGAAGCCATGCTTGCGGGCGTATCATGTCACGAACCCATCATCTCAAAATTCTGCAATTCCCTGCTTCTCAAGAATGCCCTAAACCCTAAACCCTAGACCCTAAGTAGCCGTTTCCATTTTATTTTCCATTATCCCAATATAACCCCAATATACCCTGAACCCTAGATCGTTTTGAATCTGAAAACAGCAACTTGGGAAGGAAGGCTGGGAGCCGAAACTCTTCCCTCTGTCTAAGCCATGTTACTGAGTTGCTGTTAAGGAACTTAAATTAAGTTACTATATTGGCAAACCCTATTATTTACTATATATACCCATTATGGTAACTTAATTTAAGTTCCTTAACAGCAACCCCGGTTAGACCCTTGCATGATGCCATCTGCCCAGGATCCAGGCTCATGTGGCTTTCAAAGAACAGCGACGCTCGAGCCTTAGGCTTCTGCATCTCTTGTGAAATCTCATGCCGTTGCGCAAGTTGCACACATAAGCTGAGCATGTCTAGCAGGCCTAGAGGCACGAAACCTGCTGAAACCAAATGAGAGCGACATTCATTCTTTCATCCGTGCCAAGCTGAGGTATTTGAACTCGCCTTCTCCAACTGCATTTCAAGCACCAAAGTGTGACATCGGAGCAAGGCTGAGCAGCGAGGCCAGCAAGAACGCATGCAGGTGGTAGGTCTTCTCGCCAACCTCACACATTCTGCACATCAGAGCAAACCGGGCAGAATGATGCATAGGAAGGTCGTCAGTTGCATCTATCATCCTGGCTAAAGGTGCCAAGCCTGCACAGTCCAGTCTGAGAAGCGTCCGTCTCGCCAGGACCTTGCACCCCGAAGCAATAACTTTCAAGTCCAGGCTTAAGGCACCTCGCATCCGGCAAGCTGGCAATGAAGGGTTCCAGGGTTGGACCCCGAAGGTCGGACCCCTGAAAGGTTTCCCCAGTCTGGCCCTAATACAGCCCTCACATAAGCCAATACTGTCCCCTAGGGTCCCTCAGAGGCATCCTAAAACCCAGGGCTACAACCCTAGGTGCAAGCCTGAAACCTTTGAACACTTGACTGCGGTAATGTCTGAGTTACGAGGCAGAGTTGCCATGCCTGCACCTGCAGCAAGGTTCAGGGCTTTGAGTGCATGACGTGTGCGCATACATAGCAACTAAGACCCTCAACAGGTCTTCCCTCAACGTGGCAGTCTGCGAGGGATCTCTCACTCTGGGAACTCCAGCAGCACAGCTAAAGCTCGCAGAATGCTACTGAGGGCGCACCAAGTTGAGATTTGCCCTCCGACTCTGGTTCCTGGCCGGGTGGTCATGAAAGGCTGTTGAAAACAAGGGTTAGGATTCAGGGTACAGCAGCAGTGGTAGCAGCAGCCAGCACAGTACAGGCCGCAAGTTTACTACACGTCTTTTCACAGCAGACTGATGTAAACAACAGCCGTTGAGTACAGGCGACGGCCCGCTTTGCTGGTTTGGATCAGCAGCAAGAGCACCAAAGAAATGTTGAGTCACTCGGGGCATCCGTCAATTTGAAATGGGTTCAGATTTGAAGCTCAGAGGAAAGCAGCAAGAAGAGCCATTCATCCTTCAAGAGTCTCATTGTCTGATCCTGAAGGCTAAAGAGTATTTGTTGGTTCCCAAGCTCAAGATCGCCAGGATGGCCACCCCTATTGCGTGGTACACGGCCGGTGGTCTCACCTGAGATAGCCATGCCACCAGAATCCACCAGAACAGTCATAAGTCACAAAGCGGTGCAGTGTGCAGCAACCCACACCAGCGTGCCAAGTGTTACTCTGTCTTACACTGAGGAACTGCCTGGCTTGCCCTCCTTCTCAAGTACTCACTATCCCCTGGCAACACTGCCTGCGGCACCGATGCGTGATGCAAACTCAGAAGACCCTGCTGACTGTACTGGATTGCTGTTAAGGAAGCTAATCTAAGTTACCATTTTGGGGAAACCCTATTATTTCCTGTATATATATACCCGTAATATACCCATTATGGTAACTTAACTTAAGTTCCTTAAATCCCTATATTCCCCCCAGTTTCCATTTCATTTTCCATGTTCTTTTTGATTCGAATCTCCATTATGGGGGGATAACATCCCTAAACCCTAAACCCTATATCCTAAACCCATCATAGTAGTTTCCATTCTCTTCCCAACTTAAGTTCCGTAACAGCAACCCAGTTTAAGCCCGCCACTTCCAGGATGAATGGGCTCCCGGCTAGTTCCTGCTCAGCAGGCGAAGCAACTCACCAGGGCATTGCTGCCACTTGAAGACTTGGGTAGTTCCAAAAATTCTGGGCCCCTTTTGGGTATACAGAGTTTATATAGACTTTATATAGAGTTGATGATAGGGTTATGTAGGGTTCTATGATGGTTTTAGGCGTTTTTTTCTCAAAATGCCCTTTTTGGGTACATATTATATTACGGAACAATATATTCAGGGGTACCAAAATGGGACCCTGATTTTGGGAACTACCCACTTGGCCTGCAGTGATAGCATGCGGCAGTGTTCCTGTATGTTTGGTTTAATGCCACTCCAAACAACTCGCCCTGGGCTAATGTCAATACCGAATGCTTTCCCATGATTCTTGGCTGCCAGGTGAATGCGCCTTGTGAATCCTCTGAACACTGCACGAAAACCAGCTACAATTCAGCCTCCTCGGCCCCTTCCGGCCCGATAGAGATCTTGAGACTGAAGCCTCGGCTGATTCGTGTAGCAAAGGCTTTGCCTAAATTTGATTCAGAACTAGATCCCCCTCTCTGGAAGTTCGCTGCATTTCCTTGCTAAGTCCACAGCTCCCTGGCGTCAATGGCAGAAAGGTCACTTTGTACCTGACGCTTACGCGACCCTGGATAAGTGCTGGCCCCAGCCTTTTTGCACCGAATGCATCTTACATCACAGCCATTGGTATAGTAAATGCAGCAACAGACACCAAAATCGAGCCTGCCATCTTGCATGTCATCTACGGCAACGTCCTGAAACTCCTGCCAACACAGTGACCAGAGTACCATGGAGGCTTCAGAACCTACCCTGAATCTGGAGGGCCTGCATGCTATGCCCCAAGTGTTGGCTAGGGACAACTCTCAGGCAGCACAAAGAAAGCGGGATCCCAAGAACGAGATGTGCACGCAGAAAGCTCTGGCAAAGTTGCTCCACATCTGAAAGCTGCACCGTTGTTGAACCGTCCAGTCCATGTCTGGCCAAGGACCCCGGAAAACCGGAAACAATGGATTTTAAATCACGCCGTTCTCCGGTTGCACACCCTCCTCAGGGTGAGAGAGGTGCGCCACCACCCTGTCGCCTAGACTCAGTGACAGTTCACGTGCGAAACGCATGGTTAAGAGTCAGGAGTTGCTAAGCTGAACATGCCCACAGTGCGCAAGAACTGTCAAGCATTTGCCTCCTTCCAGGCGACGGGCACCCTCGCGATCGCACCTCATCAGAAAACACTGGAATCTTTCACGACGACCCCAAGGGGCCTGTTCGAGCATTCCCATGATATGAGCACACTGATCAAGGAGGCAAACTATAACACGTTGGTGGCCGAGCGGCGCGAATACCCACAAGGACGATGGTGTGTTAACCTTGTCTGGCTTGTTGCTTGAGGCATCCGGACCACGAGTGCTATGTGCCTGCTAACCGCCACTTCCTACACTGATATAATTCATAAACGCTCAAATGAAAAATGTGCTGGGACCTACAGCTATGATCTTGACGTCACGAGGCTTCCTTACTGTGGCCAACACCTTGAGCACACCCAGCCCAGGCCCCTGCAAGCGCAGGCCAGGTGCCACCAATTGGTGCAATTGATCATGCAAGCGCTTCAAGTACTGAAACAACGAACAGCTCCACTAGTGGTCGTTAAGAATATTGTGCAAGAAGGAAGCTCGAAAGAGTGGCATGAAACCTTGTTCTGCCACAAGCTGAACTTAGCGGGCAGCATGCACTTCTACGCAGCACACAAGCAGCAATGCAAGCAGCATCATGCGCTGTCCCAGTCTTACAGCTGAGGGTTAACCACACCTGCCTTCGCGAAACTCATGGAGGCGTAGGTAGATCCTCAGCAAGAAGCGCGAGTTGAGGAGCTTCAGCAAGCATTTCTCAAATTTTGCGGGACCAAGCGTGACATCAATAGTTCACACTTGCTGGCCAGGAATTTATCAGAAGATCCCACACTCCCTCTATTGCAAGATAATGGCGCTACTGGCTGTGCCGGGAAGCCTGAGGGGCAGACTATCCACTACCTGACCCCAGTCCGGGATCTTGCTGGCGAAATCTGTTTCGGCTAGCCTGCGAGGGATCTGCGTGGGAAATCACACCCTGCAGCGCCTGCCAAAGATGTGTAAGCGCTTTGGGACGCTACACCTTCATGCTCTTCAGCTGCAGTACTGTTCATCTGAAGGGTTCCGCATAATCAAACACAATGCAATCAAATCCCGGCACTTTTTTGCTGCATGCATGCTGCATCAGAAGGGCTAGCACTTGGGGCCATCCTTCAGCATTGCATGCTGCAACCATCGGCTGCTCAGGCTACATGTAGCTCAAATGCCTCAGCCAACAGCCCATGAAAGCTGGTGGCAGCAACGACACAACACAGAAGCAGCCAACTCCAACCCTCAAAGCAATTGCCTGCAACCGTCGGGTTCAACACACTCGCTGTGAGACACATCATGTCACATCTGTCTTGTATGTTTCAAGAGATTTACTCGCAGAAACGACATTCGCTCTGCCCACAAAACCTTTTTTGCACAAAAAGTGGTGCTGAGATGCGATTTGCCCAGTCTTGAAGGTTCCTTGTGCCCTGTAAGGTTTAGGAATAACCTGCCTACGGACCAGACTGCACACCCTCACAACGAAATGGCCAAAAGCCACTGCAATCCAGAAGCCAGTAACTCAGCCAAGACACACATAGCAAGGCCGCCGCCGCTGTGGCAACGTGCTCCTGGCGTTCGGACACATGGTCGCAACTTGACCTTACTGCTGCAGCCACCCAAAGCCTTGCTGTCTAGACCTAAGCATCAAAAATGTCTCCCTCATGATGCATACTTGGAACTTTTCTGTCAGAACGCGAGTAGCAACAAGCTGCGCGTATACATAGCTCTTTCAAAAAGCTAGCTGCTCGGTACGCACGTATCTCAATTCCTCATGTAATGATTTCTGGTTTCCAGTCATGCTTTGCATGTCCAAACTCACGTTTATGGGCTAGCGTGTCATGACGCATCCACAAGCGAGCAGGCGCGAAAAGTCCTGGGCCGCAGCAGATTGCGCCCAGGCGCTGCGCACAGCAAAAGTTTCCCTTGGCATCAGCACCTGGGTGCAAAAGCAGCCAAACTAGGAAGCCCTCATGAATTCTTCATGGAGACTCCCCACATCCTCTTACAGTTCTTGATGTATCCCCAGGCTCCCTAGATGCCACCCATGTTTAGAAACGACTGCAGGTCCATAAGCACGCGAAGCTCCACACAGTCCGAGCCCAGTGCAAGCTTTTGACCAGCGTCTGAATATCCTAAAGCTCAACCCTTCAGGTTGGTCTTGCTATGACCTGTTTAATTTGCTTCTCGATTCGGCCTAACATCTCAGACTCATCTTGTGGAATATGGCGTGTACAGTACAGGACGCAGCTGTCGCCAACCGTTTCCTCATTTGCTCAATGTTTGCCGTTTGCCTCCACGCCTCCAGCAGCAGCCATACACTTGTTGGGGGAGACATTGCGTTGACAGCTGACACGTTTCACATGATCTGCGAATTCAGACACGGACCATAGGGGTTATTTGGGGTTTAGGGCTTTAGGGTTTAGGGTGTCTCAGTGAAGGGGTGCGCTGGTGCTGGAAGCACCCAGGCACGCACCCTGACCTGCAGGAGCCCACCCCCGCTGGCACTCCACCCTTGCCTCGACCTTTACGGGTTTAGGGTTCTCTCTAACTCTGACCGCGCTCCTGTTTTTTTGATTTTTTGCAGCTGTCTAGACCAGGCGGGTGCAAGGTTTGGG